CACCAACAATTTTGAGTATGAAAATATTTTTCCATTATATTTCAGTTCATAATTTTAATTTAAAAGTTTATAACATACAGTATAATAGATTGGTAGAAACTGAAACCAAGAAAAAGAACTGCAGTGACTGATCATTCAGTGAGCTCATTCACTGTATTTTACTCCAGTATTTAGCTTTGTCTTAATTAATAGACTAATACACTGTGGTTTTAAACTTTGGCATTTGAGAGATGGTCAAATGATGTACTTAGAATTGTAATTAAAAACTTTTTAATTAAGGTTTTAAGCGTTTCATGTTTTTAATTAGTACATAATGTGCAATTAAAGAATCATACCATTTGTGAAATGGATGATGTGAATTATTATAAGCAACCCAACTCTCATTATCACCCAATGGTTGAGCCTTTCTCCGTGACCCTACACAGAAATATATCATGAAATGTATAAGAATAAATCTATTATTTTTTAACTACAATAGTAGTGATAACATTTACAATTGTAAAACAATATTGAAGATTTACCTTAAAGTTGATTAGGACATGTCCACAATGGACTCTAATAGTTCTAGAGATGATTGCTGCTATTGAGCAAAATCTGACATAAAACACAAGTCAAGTTTACGTCGTCTTATAAGTATAACACTGATCAATATAGTATTAAAAAAAAAAGACTTAGATACACCTCAACAAGCCTTCAGGGGAAAGGCACCAAGAAGGAGTGTTCTTTCATAAAGGTCCTCAATTTGGTGAACTATTATACATGCCTTAGAATAACATGAAATCAAAAAGCGGGAAAAAAAAGTTAAAAAAAAAAACTGTTGAGTTTTGAGCACAAACTGTAAGTTTACTCTTTGTCATAGACCTAGATCATGCCTAATTTTTGGGGTTTTCTATTTTCGACCAACTTTTAGTCTGCTTATAATACTTGCAATATACTGTTTATGACTTAAAAAAATATTTTATACCCATATAATATCTGATTCTGAGACTAATGTTAAACTAATGTTGAAATTTTTAAATTTACTCCTTGAGGTTTCATGTGTTCTAATATCTATTGGGTTTGTCAAGGATATAAGGGGATGCATCTTTTCACATGTAAAATATGAATACATCAACATCTGGAAGTCAAAACCATAAAATATTCTCTAAGCTGTCCTCGTATTCAGGAGAGAGTTTCTTTCAGATATGACTAAAATATTGAGGGCTTTGGTTTAAAGTTTGCTAAGCTATAGTTATTTTAGGTATAAATTTGCAAGTAGCTGTTTGTAAAACATAAACTGCAGTGTTTTATTATAGTTTGATTTCTCCTCTCTTTTTCATTCCTTGGAGAAATCTTCTTAAAGTTTATAAAAAGTAATAAGCGTGATGCATTATGTTATTTCTTCCTTAAAAGCCAACAGGCTCCGTACAATGTATCTAGATGACCATGGGTGATATGTGATACATTCAGCTACCAAAAGTATCTGTCCATGTGTGTCCTATGTCCATATAACGAAGCTATCACCTTACATTCCTAATGTTTCACTCATTAGTAAATTTTACAAAATACCAAGTATAATCAAGACATGGATGGACAAGGTTCCTCTTCTATAAAAATTTACCTGATACATATTTGAATCCTTATGTCCAAATATCGTAAGCTAATATATATGTAGAATAGCTTATTTATCATGCTTAGTAACAAAATGAATCCCACCTACAGTACAATGATCTATAAACGTTATGGAGAAAACTTATTATAATCCTCAGTTTATAGGTTTTAGGACCTAAAAAAGCTTATGAGGTGTAGCACAAAAAAAAATGAGGGATTTAAATTAACAAGGCTTAACACTTTTTATTGTTATAGAACCCTCTAAAGGTTATATATAAAAAGAAAAAAAAGCATATGTTGTCCAGAAAAAGGATGATTTTGCAGTGAATTGTCATTTTCAAATGTCATTGTTCTGGACCAAGGAAAGATTTTAAGTTAGGATGGTTTCTAAAGAATAGATTGGAAAAAACTTGTGATTGTTCCAATTCCATAAATGGAGAGCATAAATAAATAAATCTATATGTAACCAGCTTAATTGAAAATGATAGCATTCAGAACCATATGCAAATAGTGATACTTGTAAAGAAATCACATACCGTCTACCGACATAAAATTAGAAACAGTTCCTAAAACCATCTACAACCATCAAATGTAATTCATTTGTAATTATTTGTTATGAACTGAAGATATGGAAAATTTTCTTATTTCAAGCAAAATTCAAGGAGCATTTACGAAGTTATATAATATAAAATCTCAAAAGCTCTTGAAAATAGGGAAGAAAAAATCATTAGCTCAATTGCTGTTTCTTTATGATATATGCGTAAAAAATTCATCTTGTAATATTTATACTCTTAAAAGGGATCTCAAGCTATGTTGATATTCAATATCCTAATCACCCCAAATTTTAACCCGTAGCAAATATAATTCCGAATGGAATGTTACCATTTATTTGAATTGAATGATTAAAGGACAGAAAATTTGTACTCCTACGCATATGTATTATCTAATAGAACATAAACTTGCTACTTGGTATTGTTTACACTTTCTAGTTTTATTACAACCTTTTAAAACTTTTTAGGCGGTAGAAAACTAGTAAAAGAGATTTTTTTAAAACAAATCCTTGAATAACGAGATTTATTATCCTATCATATAACTATTTGTATATGTCTAAATCACTCAATTATACTGAACTATTAATTCCTAACATAAACAAATGGATGAATAATACCAACAGACAATTTAGCAAAATAAACCAAAAGACAAATATAAATATTTATTAGCAAAATAACAAAAGAGAAAAGGGAAGTAAGTATCTTGTTAGATGGGTTCTCCCACCAACTCAAAATCTCTAAAACTCATAGAACTGCTTAAAGTAGAAAAGAATAGTTTAAAAATTATTACTTTCAATCAAAACTAATTGAGGGGTAAGAACTGAAAAAGAAGAAAAAAAAGGATCAATACTTACACTCAAGAAAACATTTTCCTTTCTGCATGAAACTCCAGCCAAAAGCAGCCTTTATATAACAATAAGCAATTGTATAACTAATGGTTCAATTAATTACAAATTGAGAGAGTTGGGGAGTTATATGGCCATTATAATTAGTAGCAATCATGACTATAATTCTTTGATTTGAGGGATATACATTGCAAAAGGGAAAATCCGATCGTTTATAGAGAGAGATCGATGGATGTATGAAGAGGGCGAAAAAATAGCTATCTATTGAGCACTGTTATAAATAGCGGTAAATAGCCCCACAATAGCGACACTAATAACGTAAGCGGTCCCTTCCCGCTACGCTATCGCCCGCTACGCTATCGCGTAATAGCGATGACATATTGCAGAATATGTCTGTTCGTAAAAGCGGCCAATAGTGTGTCATAACGGTAAATAGTGAGGGATTGCATTCGAAATTTGCTTTTTGACTGCTATTTAAAAGCGGATTGAGGCTTGTTTTTTTAAAATTAAACTCAACCCTTGACCATTACATTCCACTGTCTCCTGTGATTTTCAGCATACTCCCGTCACCTCTCATAGCCTCTGGCACCTACATTGATACTTCCTCTCACCTCCTTCACCGTGAGCTCCTCTTAGGACAGTCATGTCATCGCTAAGTTTTTCTCGAAGACGACGATTTTTTCACTTCTCCAATCATCTTTGATATTACGTGATGGTTAAATGTCTATTTCATGTTTAGGATCTCTTTAAATCATCTAATATGTACTTTTAGATTTCTTAGAATTTTTCTTTTTTAGTATTTATACATATTTAAATTAGACCGTTATTTGACTTTGCGCTTTTTACCGTTATTGTACCGCAATAGTCCGAAATAGCCTTAGCGATGCCTCACCGCTACGCGACGCTATCCGCTATCGATAACCTTGCTATTGAGAATTTGTGATTATCTCAAGTTGAGAGACGAAGGGTCACTAACAGATTCAGAGAGAGATCGATTAGAGAGATAGAAACACTAGATGAGAGAGAAAGAGAGAGGGTGGAGAAACATAGTGTTGTTAGATGGTGTTTAGATAGAGAGAGATTGGTTATAAGGAGAGATTAATTTGTTACTAATATTTATTTTAAATTAACTAGTATAGTGCGCGTGCTTTGCACGAGAGCGTACTTATTTTGTTTTATGTTTTTTTTTGTTGGTTGCAAAATAATAAAATGACTTGCATAGTAATATAAATTATGAATAATTATAATTTTGTTTAAGTGAATAAATTATACAATAAAGCTATGAATAAATTATACGATAAAGCTATGTATAAAGAACTGTATGATTAATTATTATAGTTTGGATAATTATTATTTATTCATAATTTATTAAAATAATTATCATATATTAAATAATTTCTTCTCTTTTAAATATAATAATATTATACATAGCATACTTATAATACTATTAGTAACTACATTTTAATTTAATAATTAGTTTATTATACTATTAGTAAATAATTTACTAAATTGTTTAATTATTAAATTATAGTATAATTTATTAATTAAAAAACACTATTAAGATCATTATACTATTAATACTATTACAATTACAATAAATACGATTATTTTTCATACTAGTATCATACCTTTAAAAGGCTAGTAAGATGAAAGGTATCAGATAGTCCTTCATAAGAGGTGAAATCCTAAGGCACAAAGCATAAGGCTAATGAATTTTTCTTATTTTTAATTTTTCTAGAATTTTAAATATTATGTGAAGATAAATTAAGGATAATTTTCAAATTTTCTACGAAATAACATACTTAAATAGTAAATTAATAGTGTGAGCAAAGGTTGCAAAAAAGTGAGGAAATGTATAATTAATAAGAGGATATATAATTAGTGAATGATTAATTACAACCAATGGCATATTTGAGAATTATCAAACCTATAAGGGTAAAAATGGAAATTAAAAGTTTTGACAAGGCAATCCTCTTTTATATGTAGTATAGATTGTGTTGATATGGATACTTTATTCCTTCTCAATTAGCCGACAGCCTAAAAGTAGGCAGAGATTGTTGTTTTATTGAACATTTTCAATAACATGCATCAAAGAATTAGTTGGTCAATGATGGTTCTGTTTGTGTAAAGCTGGATCTTCTCCCCCATACTGTTTCCTCTCATTTTCACGTGCATGTCCATGAGGAACTAATCTCACTTTTTAGTCTACATGATTAAGCTATGCCAGCTTAGAATTTGTTATTCGGTAAACTTCTTTAATGTATTGATGCAATATCTTATTGGCTAGAAAATTCAACATGTGCGTAGTTCACATTAGTGGTGCACATTTTGCTCTGCAATGGCTACATGGATCAGGATCATGTGCTTATGTATCTCCAGTATCTCCAGAGATAGTGTGATAGTGTTGATTTTCTGTCTATAACGACCTTTTTAGAGCTTTGAGTCAGACCAATCATTCTTATCATCATCATGTCTTTTTTTCCCCCAGAATGGTCTATTAGAAATTAAATTTGATCAAGATTTCATCAGTTTGCGATATTCAATTAAAGTGAATATCAAATCTAATTTTTTGAGTCGTATTCCTTGGCAAGAACAACTGTGAGAAAGTGAGGGGCCTCTTCAATAAGACCTTACATGGTAATATAGTTAAGCCCGTACAACATTAGGAGCTTTCTTTTAACTCTCCTGCACCTGTAAAGAGTCTGCACAAAGAGGTAAGATAATAACATTTGCTATAACTCCATCTTTGAGCTGCAAAATCAGCATGTGATTCAAGTGGAATCGTATTTACTAGGTAATCAAGCTTTGAACCCGGTGTGTTGTTGTAAGTACTGATGATTCACACTATTTTTTCCTATGTTCTTTCACCACGGGAAAAAACATCCTATTTACATATGGATGTAGGGTTTGGTACTCAAGACATGACCATTCTTGCAAATCTAGATGGGAATCAAGTAGGTTTTATGTCTTTTTATGGCATAATTTCAACATCATTTTCCTTACATCTTGTTAGATATGGGGTACTTTTATAGAGTAAAACAAATAATATTTGCCTAGAGAGAGATATGACATATTCTGTTTTCTGTAGGTACTCTGCAAGTGTTTTATATTGGGTACTTCTTGGAAGAGAACTGATTTTCATTGATATAGTTCTTCTAATGGAATTCTTTTCATTATTTGCTTAAGTATGAATGAAAAGTTTAACCCTAAATAATTTAAGAAAATTTAAAAATGGAAGATTCACGTCTAATACGTAGATTGTATAACTCAAAGATGGATTTATTTTTTTATAGGGGATCCTCTCATTCTTAAAAGGTGGGAGTGATCTTGGACACGCATGCTCTTTGGCTTCTTGATTCGAGGAACAAAAAATGGAAGATATCATATATTTCTTAGGATGTAATCGAAGCAGCTTGGAAGTTTTTATTTGTTAAGATCCTACTGTTATCATCTTGAAATAATTTTATGACAAGTATATTCTAAAGAATATAAAGAATACGTTTGTTTCCAATTTTATTTTGCTACTTCGCATTATTCTCTTAACTTTCATGTGGTGTAATACTATTAACATCTTTACTTGTTGAACTATACATGCTTGTTTTTCTTGTTTGTGCCAAAAAAGGAGCAACTTATGAGCTAAAATTTTTTCATGGTGTTAGAATATAGAAATATTATCCTCAATCCTGACCATAACTTCGGAGTTGTGGTGCAATGGTTAGGGACTTCAAGATGGCGTCAGGGCAACCCAAGTTCAAATTTTATTGGCCATGAGTTTAAAGTGGATTTTCTAAAAATTGACACCGTTGCGTGAGTCCAGGTTTCGGCCCATAAAAAAGAGGCTCAATCTGTGGGGACATGTTAGAATATAAAATATAATCCTTAATTCTCATCATAACTTTGGAGTATTGGTGTAATGGTTAGAGGGACGTTAAGACATGACATTTTTAAGGCAGAGGAGAAATGTTTTAGCTATGATCACTGTTTAATACAGTGTGAAGTATAAAAGATAAAGACCTTGTGTTTCTCATAATCACATACACATCTTATCCAGCATGATGTTGTTGCTAAAAGAACTAATCTATAACTAGTAATCAATGAGAGTAGCTGAGACTATGGACATTGAAACCCAAAGTATTTTAGATTAAGAGCTTATGTTTCTTATAATTGCATTCAATTCATTTCTTCAACATGTTTGTGAAGTCTTTTGATAACAAACAATTCTTTACTTCAAAGGGATACAAGGAATCCCGTAAGAATTTATCCACATGGAGGACTATATATGCTCTTTATATACCATAGTCCATAGAGAACAGAGCTTTGTATATCTAGGATGCTATGAAGTTCCCTTTTTTAATTCTAAACCCTTTATTCTGATATTATGATCCAAATCCATGTGCTCTACAGGTTCTTTACAAAAGTCGGTGTGACAACAGACTAAATGAGATCTCAGAAAGGGCATCTTCTGACAAACGTGAGGTACTTTTCCTTCAGAACTATCTACTTGCTCAGTGCTTCTTATACGCCATTTAGGAGGGGCAAAATATTACTGATAAATCATATCAGTAGGTAGTCTTGACATGAATTTGCACAATGCAACATAAGATTTTAAGTATTGTTTTACGGATCGGGATATTTGATCTGGTATAATGAGTATCCATATTACTAAAGGCTTTATGTAAGGTTTCTTCCTGTTTAAGTACTATTGTGTGAGCATGTAAATATTCTTCCGTGGTGTCCATTGTAATGTTACTGTGTTCGTATTTGGTTGATGTTCGCCTGCATTGTTGTGATCTTCAACCATTGCATTCTCAAAGATGGACATCACAGGGTATTCGATATAAATACATTTAACAAATTTGGTTATTAAGGTCTCTTATCTGATTGGTACCCTCATCCTTCCAGCTATTCATGTCATTGAAGCGAATGTAGACCGGAATCTTGGTCACAACTCACAACTTAGAGCAATATCTTTTCTGTAGGCCACTTAGCATTTTTTGTAATTTACATGATTTAATGGCTGTAGCCTTAGCCATATTTTTTACTCCCTTCATTTTTTTGGTGATTTTGTTTATTTTCTGCTTCCTAAATGTTATTTTCTTGCTACTGTTCAAGTGCTTTTATGAATTTTCCTTGGGAATACCTTTTGATAGATCAGGCTATGGTTCCTGATCAACAATGTCACATCAAACATCTAGAAATCAGTTTCAAATGACTGTCTTTACTGTAATGTTAACATGCCTCAGTAGCACAAAGGATCTGAAAATATAAGGATTGGGTCTGATTATATTCCCAAAGGCTATTTCTTTTTTCTTTCTAGAAGCTGACTTTCTTATTAGAGGAGCTCATCCTGATTGCAAGCAAAGTTTGTGGCAGATTTGTATACAAATAAAATTTTACACCTTGCGATCCTTGCTTTTGGTGCCTTTGACCAAATTCATACATCAAGGAGGTAACGCATAAATTTAGAGATTTTTTTTTCTGGAAGAAACGTTTTTACAAGTTTGTGGTTGCATATCATGTCATTTATGCATGCTTGCTATTCTATCTTGTACTTTTCTCGATCTATCGACTAGTTCTGTTATCTCAGGGTCTTTCTGCTGTATACTTGGTATGTCTCTTTCTAGGATGCATGAAACTAAAATAAAATTCAATTCCTCCCAACATATTTGCCTAGATGCCCAACTGGCTTTCCAAAAAGAAAAGGAACACCCATTATTTTTATCTATTTTAGTTTATTGATTATTATTGAAGGATTCCAGTCAAAATACATCATATTCTAGTGCCTTCTGGTCTCTCTATCATATTTCTACATGATCTCTAGACTCTACAATTTACTATAAATGCTATACAGCAGCTTGGATTTTTTTTCCTACAATAAATCGTTTAAACCAACTGTAGCACTACATGAAAACGCTGTCCTTGAATACTTTATTTTTTATTCTGGTAAAGTAGGTTTGTAATTTATGATACGAGAAAAGCAGAGCAGCATATTGTCAAAACAAATGATGGCAGGAAGTGTTTTGATGTCATCGGAATATTTGGTTTGTCAACTGGAATCAAGTGATTCCATAACATTGACTTTCAGTAGAGATATGTCATATGTGGTATAACTTTAATACATTGAGCTCTATATGATAACATCTTCCCCTTCTTAGCTATATCAAATTGAGGTTATTGTGTTTAATGAACTCCTATATTGCACTTGAAGAGTAAACTTTTTACAAATACACCATCAACACCTGTGGACGAATTTAACATCATTTCTTTTATGTTGAGGCATGGTTTTAAATGTCGGCCGACATATCGGATCAGAGGCTAGAGCGACATGAATGTGGCCATTTCAAGTCGGATATCATTTTTGAGGTCCATGTCGAACATTTCGGGGGATATTGCGGACATATCGACCGAATTTCAACCTTGAAAAATCGAAAAGCGACCGATTTTTTTTATTTTTTTTATTTTTTGAGTTGATAAGCATTAGGGTTTGGGTTTAGTATTCAAAAGTAACCTGATTAATTTTTTTAGCCTTATGTTCCCATAGTAACCCGATAGCATATAATAATACATAATACAGATTAGGGCAAAGAAAAAATATTACTCTCTTTTCCGTCACATTCTCCTCTTGTTCGTCTTCGTCTCTACAAATTGAAATTGAGAATACATAAAAGCGTGATGTAAACAATAAGTTTGAACCGTAGCTTGAAATCAATTCAAAGTCTAACACTTTATGTCAATTTTATACAAGGCACTTTACTTTATGTTAGTTTTATGCAAGGCACTTCGAAAGTTTTAGTTTGACAATGTGTATTTTATTTATTTGTTGGCATAATATTCTAATATTTCCCTTCAAGAAATGGAAAACGACTCGTGTCTTGATGATGAATACTCAACTCAAGTAGGATAAGTTAAAGAAATGGAAAACGACTCGTGTCTTGATGATGAATACTCAACTCAAGTAGGATAAGTTATAACAAGACAAGTGCATTCCATCACTCGTGTCTTGATGATGAATACTCAACTCAAGTAGGATAAGTTATAACAAGACAAGTGCATTCCATCTTAGTGACCAAAATTGAGTAGAAATCCATCGGATATGGCAATCCGATATTTAGTATATGTCACCGACATATCCCTGATTTCCGCTATCCGACATGAATTTTAGTTGTCCGACATGAATCTGATATCCGACATTTAAAACCTTGTGTTGAGGTAGGTCACTTGTAATATTGTAAGAAATGTGATTCACCACTTGTAAGTTGTGATAATGACTAGTTGAACGCAAGAATCCAACCTTGACTTTATTATTGTAGGTTCCGAGATGGTTGTTGATATTATAGTTTATAATTGTTCTTTTTTTATCTCTCTTTTGTTGATATGCCCAAATCATCACTGTAGGAGTAGCAATGTTTTGACCCAATGCAACCCAGAAAGTCTGTTAAATTTGTGGGTCTGAGCATGTGGGCATAAAGTTCGCCTGCAACTTAAAGCGGATTGATGCCTGAAATTTACTGCTAGATGAAATATTATTGTTCTTCTAGTGTTTCCTTAATGCCCAACTCCTTTTGTCACAGCTTGTCATTTTTTCAAGTTAGATTAGTTATTTTTGTGAATCATGTGTTCTCCTGTGAATTGTCATAGAATGTTGAACCATTCTTATTGTAGAATGTTTAATGAGTATTCTTGGAACTAGATATTACCGAGAATTAAAAGCTCGCTTCATTTCTCAGGTCGAGTCACTGGCTAAAAAGTATGAGGAGAAGTACAAACAAGTTGCAGATATTGCTTCAAAACTGACAGTGGAAGAAGCTACTTTTCGTCATGTTCAGGTATTCTAGATAACTAACATAAGGTCCTGATAGGGAATTAGGGATACATTTTCATGTTTATGAATTTTCCTTTGTATTTTCAGAGCTTTGTCCAGTGTTCTCTATTGATCTCTTAGTTCAAAAAAATTAACTTTTTTTTGCAGGAGAGGAAAGTGGAATTGCAAAATGCAATAGTCAAAATGGAGCATGGTGGAAGTGTTGACGGTTTACTTCAGGTAAAGTTTGTTTATTCTTCTTTACTTGTTGCATCATCATGCCAAATCTTTTTTTTTAAAATGCATTTCCAGGTTCGTGCTGATCGAATACAATCTGATCTTGACGATCTAGCAAAGGCTCTCAGTGAGCGTTCTAAACAACATGGTGTAGAAGTCAAGACAACTGCGTCAGTTGAGCTTCCTTTTGGTACGCTAAATTTACGATGGCCTATGTTTTCGTCTTATCCCTGATTTAGTTTCAATCTCTCTTGATCAACTGGTTACATCTTTTAAGTTGAAGGTCCCAATAGGCATATAATTGTTATATGATTCCTTTTCTTCGTCTCATGTTACAATTGTTATGACATAACACTTACATGTGTATGCAATTGAAAAACATGTAAATAAATGGTTTCTGTTAAATATAAATGTTGGTGGCAATTTCTTTCTTGGGATTTGGAAATGGCAAGCATAGTAAGAATCACCAAATTGGTCCCAGGAATGGTCCCGGGGGAGAAAGTGAGGTTTCACTTGCAATAAAATCCATTTTGTTTTATTCTTACTTTCCTTGCCTATCTACACCTTGCGTTGTTTCATTTTTCCTTTGAAATGGTTCATATATTATTAGTGACAAACGGCTATTTTATTTTATTCACTATCTTGAAGGTTGGCAACCTGGCATACAAGAGGGAGCAGTTGATTGGGATGAAGAATGGGATAAATTTGAAGACGAAGGTATGTCCCTTTGGCATCCATGAACACGTTTAAGCTAATTTTTTTAAGTTCTAGCTTTATGCCATTTTTCCATGATGCAAAGATATCTGGAGGTACACCTGAGAGAACTTGGTAACTTAAAAGAGGAGATGAACCATAATAGAATGGAACGGAAGAGTATGATTCATGTAGCCGACCCAAACATTTGGGATAAAGACTTTGTTGTTGTTGTATGCCATTGTTGTATGCCATTTTTCCATGATGACAATTATACATGTGAGGCCTACAAAGTTAAATGTTAGCTAATCTTCTTGAAGTTTTCTAACTAAAACATATTGATCTTAAGATTTATCTAACATTAATTCCTTAGATTTTTACTTGTATATGCAAATATAGCCATTTAGTTTGTGAGTTGATAAAGTTGTCAAATATCTGTTAAATGTTGGTAAACCAGGATTGTCAGGGAGATCATAATAGGCACATTGTGTTATAAGAGTTTCATATACGAAAGTATATACTGGGCCATTGAAGTCAATATGCAACTATCTATTATGGTTTATACTTCCTGGTATCCATGTGATGGTGAGGCGGACTAGAACTTCTAAACCATTTATCAGATAACGTCAAACAGAAAATCTTAGAAGACGATAACCGAGACATTTCCAAACCTTTCTATGTTTTAGATGCATGAGTTAATTCAAAGTGGTAACTTTTGTGGAAGTTTTCTTTAAGGGCAGACCACTGAACTGTCTATTCACACTGTTTCTTTGGATCGACAGTGGGATGAAGGACAGTCTTTATAGATAAAAAAGATTGGAAGACCCATATTTATCGACAGTATTTATAGAAAGTTTTCTTGACCCCCCCTTTTCCTCTTTTTTTTTCCTTTTTTCCTTTTTTTCAGTAGGGTATTGTTGAGTACGAATTAGTGATGTTATCTGGTCAAGCAGTTGAACTCTTTTTGCATGTTCCATTTCTATGTTTTCTGTTCATACTCTACACAAAGATTATTATATTTTATTCGTAATAAATCATGGTTGTTAATGTATCTCCATAAAACCTTATCGCACTTCTCCCAGAGTTACCAACTTAACATATTAGTATACCTGGATTAATCTTTTCAGGCTTATCTCAGAAGCACATTCAAACATCAACTTTATGATTGTTATATATGTTATGCATTAACTTTTGACGTTTAAACTTCCAGGATTTTCAATTGCAAAAGAACTTTCTGATGGACCTGAGGATGTAGTTGCCCCTCCAAAAAGCTCGCCTACACTTTGGGGTGATGAGATATTTTCAGATGAAGTTTCTGTTGTTGAATCTCCTTCCCATATGTATGGAAACACAAATGAGCATATAACTGAGAATGGATCAGCAGATGCTCAGAGTGAAGGTGGATCAGCAAGAAGTCCACGTGGTAGTCCAGGTCGAAGTGCTTTTGATAGCCCTCGAGATTTCCGCTCTCCATTGCATGATGTCTCACCCCATGCTAAAGATAGTTACAGGTATTGTTTATTTATTTCCTCTTTTTCGTTCGATGGTACTTTCTTTGCAATTTGAGCTTTTGTTAGTAACAAAGATTGTTGCTCCCATCACTTCAAAGTTTTCTTCTGGTAGACTTGAGGTTTTGAAGCAACGATTTGAATATAAAATTTGTAACCATATTCCATAAAACCTTATCGCATCTTCTGGTAGACTTGAGGTTTCCAAGTTCAGCTGCCAAATGTATGAATACTAAACGTCCTCCAAAAGAAAATTAAATAGCTACTTATCCCTTCAGAACTTATCTTGAATATAAAATATTTGTGCTTTTTCAGTGAACTCATATTCAGTTAACGTGGCGATGTTGAATGTGTCTTGCTTCCCCCTACAAAATTGTTACTTCTCCCTTCTTCAGTAAAATTTGTTAGAACCTTGGAGCATGAAAGCTTCTTGCTGCTAAAGTTTTGCTGCCAAAGCTTTGAATTTAAGTTCAGTATATAAGATTTTTCTTGTCCTCTAGTTTACTAGAAAATTAAAGTTCCGCCCCTCAAATCACAATATCAAAATAAAAAATTTAAGCTTCTTATATTAGAGGGGTCATTCCTTCTGTTCATTTGCTGATTAATTTAATGGATGAGTCTTCCTTGGTTTTTCAGCTCATAGAAGTTGGTGTCTTCTGTTTCCGTAATATGGTCAATCTTTATGGTAACCAAGGAGGTTAAGCTTAGAATCAATGATTTGAATTAAGGAATATGGTTACATATTTGTGTTTATAATCTACAACCAATGATAGAGAGACTTATTCTCAAACTTCAACTATGGCTACTTCACCTTATCTTACCTACTTATTTTTATAAAATGTAATGCTTGGATTTGACATTTTACTACTTGTGCAGTGATCACGGAGGTGCTGAATCCACATTCTCTGGAGACAAGTTCGATGAATCTTCATGGGGTGCAAACTTTGATGCTAATGATGATATGGATTCAGTTTGGGGTTTTAATACAAAGGTAACACATTCTCATGAGGC